AACCCTAAACCCTGAACCCGAAGTTTGGGGCTGGGGGGCGTGGGCGGCTCAGAATCGACTCTAGGCCTGGAGCTCCGGGCGACAGAGTTCACCACCTTAAGAGCTTCAGGTTTAGGGTTTAGGGTTTAGAGAGCCAGGCTATACCGCGAAATCCCCAGAATCCTACTTCACTGCCCAATTCAAGTCCTTGGGCGCGAGCTGGGACACCTTCTGGAAAGCTGACGCAAGTCCTAAATCCTGAACCGGAAGCCTTAAAAACCTTAAACCCTGTGCCTTCACACTAACCCCGAAACCTACACCTGGTTTGAGCCCCGCCTCCAGGGCACCTCGTCTCGGGAGATGCTACGATGGGGCTGTCCCGGCAAGAAGACGGCCCGGCGAGACTCGCTGGTAGCTGAGGGTTCAGGGCGTAGGCCTGCGGGGTGAAGGGCCCTAAACCCTAAACCCTAAACACCGCAACTGAGTTGAGGGTCTCAGGATTTAGGTCTGAAATTCTTGGAGTGCAGACTTCGGGTGGTGTTCGAAGGCTTGTTGGATGTGAGTACGACTAGCTTGGCTAAGGGGGTTGGGACAGAGATCCTGCTGGTGTTTAGGACTTCAGGCTTAGGTGCTACAAACCCTAGACACTAAACCTGGTTAAGGGTTTAGGGGATTAGGGTTTAGGGTTTAGGGCTTTCGGGTTTTAGGGTTGAGGGCTTTAGGGCTTAGGCTCTATAAACCCTAAACCCTAAACCTGGTTTAAAGGCTCCACGATGCAGGAGACCTCCACCCTCAAAACCCTCAAAACCCAAGTTGAAAGCTCCCCGGCTGTAGTCTCGGTCTCTCCTGGTAACGTTAACTTGCATCGATGGCGACGACGACGATGATGACGAAGAATACGAACATGGAGGAGCAATGAGAAGAAGCTCGGAATCAGGAGGAAGAAGAAGGGTAGAAACAAGATAACACCAAGCACGTGGCACAACGATGACAACACCCTAGACCCTAAACCCTAAACCCAACAACGATGCAGCTTGGAAGCTTCGCACCATCCTGTTCGGAACCCTCATTTTTCGCATCCACAGAAGCAATGCACGAGGGTGCACTCTTGTTCGGGCATCTTAGCCCTAGTAGAAGTTGGAAAATATAATGTAGGGGCCTTAATCATTAGAATGGTGGTTCGGGGGGGGTCCATCATACTATAATTGTAATGAGGAAGCCCCCCCAAAATCGTAGTGGTAATTATTAAGGCCCCTATATTATCCGTGGAGCGGGGTCGGGCGAGCCTTCCCCCTCCAGGCGTTGTCTGCGAGACGCAGGACGGAAGCCTGCTAACCCTAAACTGGAAGCCCTCAACCCTCAACCCATATACCCTAAACCCATTAACCCTAACTAGGCCCATAAACCCACAAACCCTAAACCCATAAACCCTTAAACGCATAAACCCTGAAACCCTTAAACCCTGAACCCTCTCTCCTCTCATAGCCTCAGGAGCTTTGGTCCCGGAGCAAAGAACTTCTGGGTCTGGAGCAAATTATGGGTTTAGTTTAGGGTTTAGGGTTTAGGGTTTAGGGTTTAGGGTTGGGGGAGCTGAAGGCTCAGGGGTTTTATCACCAGTCAAAGCCTTTAAGGGCGTTGGGTTCCTGGCTCTTCAGCGATGAATTTTAGTTATACTCCAGCTATTCACGAGTAGGCAAAGCATGGACATGCCTCATATAATGGCGCGGCATGTAGAGCATATCCATGACGACATGGTGTTAAGAGTAGGCAACCAACAAGAGCCAATCTGTAAACAGCTATACTACCGTTGATGATATAAGTCCTGCTGCCCTACTTTAAGGGCCCTAAACTATGGGAATTACAGTAAAATTCCTTAATATAACATGTAGCAGAGCTTTGGAGCCGGGGACAGCCCCAAAGAATAGCAGCACCAATTATTCAGGCTTCTGGACCGAGTCCAAAAAAATCAGTATACTATCAGATAGCAACATTAATATAATGTAGGGGCCTTAGTAATTAGAGTGGGGTTTTGATTTAGTGTATATTATGCTAGAGTTATAATAAGGAAGCCCCCCCCCCCCAAATGGCATTGGTAATTATTCCGGCCCCTAAACTTTCCCCCAAAACCATCTTTGACCACGGTGAAGACCTATCATGTGCCACCCTAAACCCTAAACCCTAAACCCTAAGCCCTCTTTGACAATTGTGAAGCCCTGTCATGTGCCACAGAAGTCCCTCACTCCGGGGTCTACTCCGAATCTCAGGGAGCTCCACACTCACAGGCGACTCTAGCTGACGAAGGGTTTTAGGGTTTACAGGGTTTAGGGTTTAGGTTTAGGGTTTAGGGTGTTTGATGTTCAGTTGCACGAAGCAACTTCGCCAGCATCTACCACCGTCTAGATGTGTAAGACAGCTCAACCAAAATCAAAAACGGGACAGCTGCCAATGTGCAAACTTCCCCTCGGCAGAATCACGCAGCAGATTTCAACGCTTTTGCCACATCCTGCCGACCATCACAGCACTTCTAGCAAGGAAGGGGTGGATCAAAGAGGAAGCTGCTAAGGAACTATACACAGCTCTAAGCCATAGCAGTCTGAAGGCCAAGCCCAGAACTCCAACACTAAAACCAAAGTTGTCGACACTTCAACAGCTCTGACAGTCTTCCCCAAAGCCTCGGCTCGCTCCATCGTGTAGCCCACAATGCCTCCTTGAGATCGGACCATATCAATGACGGCGGCCTAGAGGCGCAAGTGAACGTTGCAGCTCTTCGGTCAGTCTCCCGATACGTAGCAATGGGACTTTCATTTCGTCCGTGCTTCTCTAGAGAGGGTTAAGGGCTTGGGACCCCTAAACCCTAATTAAACCCGAAACCCTAAGCCCAACCCTAAGCCCAAACCCCTAAACCCCTAAACCCTAAACCCTAAACCCCCAAACCCCTAAACCCCTAAAGCCCTGAGCCCTAAACCCTAAACCCTAAACCCCTAAACCCCTAAACCCCTGAACCCCCTAAACCCCTAAAGCCCTAAAGCCCTAAACCCCTTAAACCCCCTAAACGTTAAACCCCTAAACCCCTTAAACCCCCTAAACTTTAAACCCCTAAACCCCTTAAACCCTTTAAACCCCCTAAACTTCAAGCCCCCAAACCTAAAGACATTTTCAGGTTCTAGGATGCTCGAGCTTTGGGAGAAGCTTCCTGGCTGAAGCTTGGATTCCCTCCTTCCCGCGCTGAGCAAAGTCCCGCAACTTGGAGCTTAGGGTTTAGAGCTTAGGGTTTAGGGCTTAGGGCTTCGGGTTTGGGGCTTAGGGCTTAGGGCTTCGGGTTTAGGGTTTAGGGCTTAGGGTTTAGGGTTTAGGGTTCAGGGCTGAGGGCTTTAGGGTTTAGGGCTTAGGTTTGAGGCTTTAGGGTTTGAGGCTTTTGGGTCCAAAAGGTTAGAGAGCCATGGTAGGGACGGATGCCTTGAACTTGGGAATGTAGCTGGCAGTGGAGTCCTGATCCGGTCCCAGCAGACAAAGCTGTGAAGCTAGAGTTGAAGGACTAATATGTCACAGTATATGATATTACATAATATCTGAGATATCATCTAGCTATATATATATATATATACATGTATAGATACTTATAAACAATAAGCATAAGAGGATTAGAAACACTAACAGCAATAGCAACAAGTATAACAAGGTTTGAGGTGAGAATTGCTGCCTGCCGCCCTAGCATGCGGAAGGCCCCTTGGAGGCTCCTCAACGAGCACGCACTCGTAGCCGCGGTCGTTCGCCTCACGCATGGTCACCTGCACGCAGACCTGACATACGAGTTATAGGGGCTTAGGGGACCCTTGGGGATATAGACCCTCTCAATCAGCCCCTTTTAAGAGAGCCAGAAGTAGGGTTAAGAAGGGTCCCCTTTAAAGGGGCCTCCCTAATACTACCTAGGATGACAGGACGTGCAACTCAGGTGCATTAGGACAGCTACCACAACCAGCACCAATCAGAATCTTCACCATCCTAGCATCGCGATCGCCATCAACATGAGCATCAGCGCCATGATGCGTCATCAGCAAGAACCGTCACAGTCACCGTCATCATCATCGTCATCGTCATCATCATCTTCATCAGCAGCAGCCGCCGCAGAAGCAGCCGCATCGCCACTCGCCTCATCATCACCATCACCACCATGACGAGTAAGACAGAGGCAGCGCTGGCTTGGTGCCCAGACCCCCCAAAGGATCCAAAAAGTAGATCCCTTACGTAATGAGGGTTCCTATAAAGATCCCTTAGTAGTAAAGGGTCCCAAATTGGGGGATCTACTTTTTGGATCCTCCCGGCGGTCTGGGTGCCGGGGTGTTCAGGTTGCCTCCTGCCTCCGTCGTCACGCCACAGAAGATCAAATGGCTGATGCCCCTCTCCCGGAGCAACTGGTTCAGCCCAGTCATGAAGAAGGCACCCTTGCCTGACACCAGGAGAGATGAGGTTTAGGGGTTTAGAGCTTAGGGTTTAGAGATGAGGTCCAGAAGAGTGAACATGGGCCGCGCCTGGCTTGCAGAGGACCACTTCTCCGTCCTCGGGCCAATGCGATCCATGTACTTGCAGGCCCTCTTGGATATTGTAGGAAGCGGTCCAAGCAGCTCCGTTTCGGGGCAACAGCTTAACAGCGAGTGGAACGGTAATTATGAGCCGAACTGCCTTGCCAGGTGTTTTGAATCCTGCACACGTGGCTGCTTTCGTGACGGCTTGAACTTATCTCGCGAAGTTTAGGTTGTTTCCCCCTCCACTGACTTCTGAACTGAACTCCATTTTTCCTGCAGCCGGGCATCCACAGGCTTGACCACGTCCACGATCTCATTGCCGGGAGAACCGTCGATAAGCAAGCGCCCCATGCCCTCCTGCAGGACCTGCTGACAGGGTTCTAGGCTTTACGGTTTGGGGACAAGGATTTTGCCGTTTTGGGGTTTAGGATCTTCGGGCTTAGAGTTGATTTCAGGTTTTGGGAGATTCGATTCTGAGGGTTTTTGCTGTGTAGATCGAAAGACTTTGGGCGGAAACCTCAACGACGAAACTCTCCGTTTTGGACTACCCAAACCCACCAGAACCTCCTTTTTTGTAGGGTCCCTATAAATCATAGTAGGGTTTATAACAAGAACCCGGCCCTTAACCTTGAAGCCATGGGCCCATAAACCCGAACTTCTCAACCTAAACTCGCCCTTCAACCCTTAAGCCCGAACCTAAGCCCCTAAACCCCCGAAACCCCTCAACCCGCCCTTAAGCCCTAAGCCCAACATATCTTGATGAAGGCAAGCTCTAAAACCCTAAACCCTAAACCCCATAGAGGACAGGAGATACCAAGTCTGTGGAATCTAAAGGAACCCTTAAGCCAAGCCTCACAGGAACCCTTGAGCCAAGCCTCAAAGGGACCCTTACCCATAGTCTCCATTGCAGTTCCGCTTTATGGTTTTACAATTAGCCAATCTTATACTATAGGATCCTAACAATAAGCTGGCTACCCAAAAAGGAACCACAGTGGAGAGGATAGGCAGAGGGAAACCAACCCTCAACCCTAAACCCTGGACCCTAAACCCTAAACCCTAAACCTTAAATCCTAAACCCTAAACCCTAAACCCCAAACCCCCTAGACCCTAAACCCTAAACCCCAAACCCCCTAAACCCTAAACCCCAAACCCCCTAAACCCTAAACCCCAAACCGTGGTTCAGAGTTCAGGCCGCCGACCTGCGCCCTCAATGCAGC